CCTCAGCAGCGCTAAGGATGTCCGACTGCAGTTTAGGCCTGCTCCCCGCTGGCAAGTGGACATCCCCCGAGGGCTGCTGGGCTGCCAGAGGGATGTCTGATTGCCATCTTTACCCTCCCCTCCCCCCCAAGTGCACAAATTTTTGTGCACCTGGCCTCTAGTATATATATAAAAGCCTAAGTGACCGAATGACCAAACAAACGGTCACTATGACGCGCACTGACCACCTGGGGGCAGACACTCAACGCAGGAGCTGCCTCCTGGTGATCAGTGTGCTCCCACAGCTAACCTCTCGATGCCCGCCAACCTCCCGCGGTCCCTCGCCCCGGCCGACTGGCCCTGATAAGCAGATTGGGACTGGGCAAGACGGCCCCGATCGGCCCCGATGATCACTGGCCAGGCCAAGGGACCCCACCCATGCATGAATTCATGCACTGGGCCTCTAGTAAGAGAATAAAAGCTTACTACACATTTATTGAGCTCTAACCATGTGTTAATCATATTGGCAAGTAATTTAACTGTATTACTTTATTTAATCCTCAGAACAACCTATAGTGCTTATAGATTTTACCATGGTTTCTTACATACTGTTATATTTGTAAAATCTATAAGTACTGAAGAGGACAAACCTTTGAGGCAGGTGTGCACACGTACAAACAGTATTGTAATCCATATGAATGTAAGGTAACAAAGAAGGAGTCATGATTAAAAAAACCATTAGCCAGAGCCAGGTGGCTCAGTTGAATGGATCATCATCCCATACACTAAAAGGTGGCAGGTTCAGTTCCCAGTCAGGGCACATACCTAGATTTCGGGTTTGATCCCCAGATGGGGCGAGTTTGGGAGGCAACCAATGTTTCTCTTTCACATTGATGTTTCTCTTTTTTTCTATCTTTCTCTACCCTTTCCTCTCACCGTAGAACAAGCATGTCAAACTCAAAGGCTGACACGGGTCAAATAAACAAGGTTTAAGTTTATGTGGGCTGAAAAAAAACAAAAGCTTCAATTTTCATAGAAACGTAGGTTTATTTTGATAGAGACATGCTGAATACAAAGGGCTGAAATAAATGAGTAATTGTTAACATAAAATAATAGAACATTTTAATAAAAATTAATATTTTTTTCTTGAACATTATCTTACCAGACACTGAATAACTGCCTAAATTAATAAGCACAACGCAAATAAACCTATTTTTCTTGTTTTCCAGAAGCTAAATATTTTCTGTTGCACACACCAAACAAGCCAGTACAAGACTAATAATATGGCATTCGGCTGCTAAAATATTTGTTGTTAGTGGAGAGAAATGGTGCACCTGCGCGTACAGCGCATAAGGGAAATGAATGCAACACAATTATAGTAATCAGTCATTAGTGAACGTTGTAGTTCGTTATTAATAATTATGTATACCAGGATATTGTAAAAATTAAGTTATGAAATTTTTATTAAAATGTTTCTTACATACCGTTACACTATCTGGGCTGCAAATATATTCATTGTCTCTTGGGCCGTGAGTTTGACATACTTGCTCTACAATCAATAATATATCCTCGGGTGAGAATTTTTAAAAACATACACATGTCAGTGGGTATCATTTATTGATTCTGTACTACTGCAAATCACCTAGAGGGTGCCAAGTTAACCCTTTGAGTGCCAACCAATATCCTAGGAACTATGCTAAAATTGCCAAGGCATTTTTACTGATTTTACAGCAGTTTAGGAAAAAAATTATGAATCACAAGTACATGAAGTTGCATATTCAATATCTTCCACAAAATCATCATCTTCACAGCAAGAATTGATATATTTAGCAATATCATCATCACTAATAAAAGCAGACTTAGAACTGGACAGTTGGGAGCCAGCAGTCCTGGATTGTGAGAGGGATGTCCGACTGCCGGCAGTCAGATACTCCCCGAAGGGTCCCAGATTGGAGAGGGTGCAGACTGGGCTGAGGGACATCCCCGCGCGCATGCCCCCGCCCCCCCACCCCCCGTGCCTGAATTTTGTGCACTGGGCCTCTAGTGTATAATATAAATGTTATTATATCCATTTATACATTAAGAAACAGACTCGGAGATGGGGGAGAAACTTGCATGAAATTATTCATTTGTTCTTGCAGATATTTACTAACCACCTTACTATTTACCAGGCATAGAGCTAGGTGCTAGGCTTACACCAGTATACAAAAGAAGTATAGTTTCTATCATTATGGAGCTTAGTTTACTAGGAAGGATTGAGTTAAATAAAACTAGTAAGTTCATACAATTAGAAAGTATTAGAATCTCAATGCAAACTCCTATCTTCTGACTTCAAAACCTGTGCTCTTTCTATAATACCATGCTAATGGTTTAGCCATCCTTTTGTTTACTTAAATTTATTTTGAAATTTTTAAGTGGAATATGCTTTATCCTTTCAAGGCAAAAATATGAATGAAAGAAATAATTGACTGCCTGCCAAATCTGTCTTCACCTCCCTCTCCTTGTCATCTGTTTTTATTTCCTCTTTCTTATCACCTTTTTCCTTGCCCTGATATATGGGTGAAGATTCTTTGCTCTAAAGAGGAAAATTAGCAGAGAGGTAAAATTATAGCAGCTGCCTAGTACTTTTTCCTCAGAGCACAAAGTACTTAAGTTCTAAATCTGAAAGGAACTTAATACAGCATCTTTTTCATCACTTACATTTTACTTCATCTTTTAGACTTTATTTGAAATACACAAAGTCTCATTTTAAGCTGTCTTTCACTGCTAGTAGCAAATATTTGGAAAGGGGGAAACATTAAAAATCAAGATTAGTATGTGAGAGTGAAAATCTCAAAACATAATGACAATTTCCAAAAGAAATGAATTTGGAAGTATATGCCTACTTACCTCTTTCACACTCCCATTTTAGGAGGAAAATAGTTGGGATGAATTGGGTAAGAGGCAAGAAGGTAAAAGGAAATTAGAATACCATTGGAAATTTTAATTTGTGGAAATGAATACAAATAAAATTTATCAATCAACAATAATTTTAAAGGCATAGGAATGCTTTTATGTTTAGAGAGAAAGTATGGGAGCTGGCTGATATGAGGGCATGATACCTCATATCAGTTAAATTTTTAGTATAACCAGTACATGTCTTTACAGATACTGAATAAACTTTGAGACAATGCACCTTTGCAATAAAACCTGTGTAGAGACTTGATATTGAGTTTTTTCAATGCTATGAAATTATACATATTTGTAGTTGATTAGGCCACACAGCATTCTTGGAAGTTGATAAATTCACACATTTGTTTTGCCCTACAATTTTCTTACGAACTTTTAAAATGTTTTTCGTGAAGCACTCTTAGTCTATTTTGAACTCTGAGTATTCCTGCCATAAAAGTAAATATGCCTGTGTGTTAGAATACCTATTTTTCATACTCACAAAAATGGGAAAAGTAGTTATTAGTATACCTGGTTTGTAATTTCCTACACTAACAACTGTATGTGAGGCTGACCACTCTCATGAGGAAGACATAGAGATCCCAGGTACCGAGATGTCATATTCAGTTTTGGTGGTATGGGAGTTTGCCAATTACAAAGCAGTTGTCTTAGGCTGAAACCTCCCTTTCTATGCTCCATGACAGGGCCTAGTGCTTCCGCTTTTCTAGCTGAGTACTTTTAGACTCTAATTGCCAGTAGGGGGCTCTAGAGGGAGATTGCTAGGCTGGAGGAGGAAGGCAGCACTTGGGCTTCATTCTTTTATTTCCTGTTAATTTTGAGTTTCTTTGTACAACCTAGCAATGCTGCTTCATTCTGGCTACATCAGTTTTTCCCTGTAGCACAAATTGAATCTAGTTTGCTATGTTTCTAATTCTTAAAGAACCAGCCTGAATATTCATCTCCTTCATCAAGGATGTGAGTCTCAAACTTTGGGACCCTCCTCCAATCAATGCCCCTTCTTCAGAGATCTGAACTTCACTTCCATGGGTTGCTCCTCTAAGCTCCCAAGTTTTAAAAATTCCAGCCTTTTCCCTTTTCCCCCTCATTTTAAGGTTGGTGATTGCTCTCTGTAGTTGCCAACTACATGTTACCTTAGTGGGTTTTTTCTTGCCTTTTCATTTACCTAGTTACCAACTTTATACTTGGTTAATAATCCTTTATGTTAGATTCTTTCTGTTTTCCTAACTAGTGTTACTTTTATCTCCTGATTATATCTGAATGATACTGGCAGAATAAAAAAAAAATTAGTGGAAAAATAGTATTTCAGTTTGACTTGAAGGAAGAGTGGAGTTTTAGTTGGTGAAAATCAAGAAATTTCAAATAGAATGAATGTCAGCATGAGTAAAGATAGCGAAAATGTGAGGGATGGTGTATGTTTCAGAAACATTTTATGTTCTAGGCTTGTTTTGTTTGTTTTGCTTTTTTCGTTTTTGAGTACAAGGTGCATGTTACAAAAAAAGATTAGAGGGATAGATTGGGTCATGCAGTAATTTGGAGGACCTTGAATTACAGGCTGAGAAAGTTGGACTTAAATGGTAACAATTAAATGATTTTTAAAAGTATAATAATGACCTGATTAGAATTGTCCTCTAGAAATGTTTAGATAGTAAGTTCATGACAGATTATTAAGAAAAGTTAGAAGTGTAGAGGTTATGTTGGTCATCATCATTGTTTTCCCACAAAACATTCACTCAGAAAATATACACATTACCGCCCTAGCCAGTTTGACTCAGTGGATAGAATGTTGGCCTACAGACCAAAGGGTCCTGCATTCGATTCCGGTCAAGGGTACATACCATGGTTGCAGGCTTCTCCCCAGCCCGGGCCCTGGTCGATGTGCATGCAGGAGGCAATCAATTGATGTGTTTCTCTCACATTGATGTTTCTCTCTTCCACTACCTCTAAAAGATAAATGGAAAAATATTCTCGGGTGAGGATTAACAAAAAAAAAGAAAGAAAATATACACATTACCAATATGTATTGGTAATCAATGAATATGAAAAAAGTCTTTATTCTCAAGTGAAGTGAAGAAAATACATATATGCTTAGGTAATTAGAGAACAAAGTATGGAAATGCATAGAGAATTATTGCATATGAAATAGAGGACAAAATATGAACTAGAAGGGTCAAGAAAGACCAATTGATTTGTGTTTTAAATGATGACTAGGAATTAGCCATGTGTAAGAAGGCTATGAGCCAGGCTTAAGGAACAACTTCGAGAAAAGTCATAGAGAGAAAATAGCATTTTGTTTGGTAGCATTTAATGGGAAATTATATGATCTTTTCAATAACATTTATTTTTTTCCCCTTCTTCATGTGGTTTTTCTGCTAATGGATAAAATTAAATTGAGAAGGAGCCTTAGCTGTTGGCAACAGTGCATGTGTTGCATATACATCTTGGTTTCTAAAATCCTGTGGTTTTTATAGAGGATAGATATGTCAAATGAATGGATTTTAACTATCCCATTTTTGTTTTTCTTAATCCTCATCCGAGGATGTTTTTCTATTGATTTTTAGGGAGAGTGGGAGAGAGAGGGAAAGACAGAGAGAAACATAGATGCGAGAGAAACACATCAATTGGTTGCCTTCTGCACGAACCCCAACCAGGGCCAGGGCCAGGGAGGAGCCTGCAACCAAGGTACGTGTCCTTGACCGGAATCAAACCCGGGACCCTTTGGTCCTCAGGCTGACGCTCCATTCACTGAGCCAAACCGGCTAGGGCTAACTATCCCATTTAAATTGAGTTCTTGGTAAGTGTCTTTTCACATATGGGAAGGGTGTGTGTGTGTTTTGTGTATGTAGTGTGTGTGCTTGTGTATATTAATAGAGGAAGGAGAGGGACAGAATAAGAGATGTATATATACAGAGATGTATATATCACTAGCTGTGATAGAAACTCAAAAGAAATATTAAGATAGCTATTGCATTCATGTATAGTACTTTTCCCCAAGAGTTAGGGGCACTTTAGTAGAGAGCTTTTAAACTCAAAAAAAAAATTGTAGATTAAAAAATGTTTGCATTAAAATGTTAAGTTGAGCCCAGCCAGCTTGTCTCAGTGGTTGAGTGTTGACCTATGAACCAGGAGGTCACGGTTCAATTCCCAGTCAAAGAACATGCCCAGGTGGTGGGCTCAATCCCCAGTGTGGGGCATGCAGGAGGCAGGCAATCAATGACTCTCTTTCATCATTGATGTTTCTTTCTCTCTCTCCCTCTCCATTCCTCCCTGAAATCAATAAAAAAATTTTTTTTTTAAATTGTAAGTTGAGAGGACAGAAGAATCAAGTGAAACAAAAGAAAAAGAAATACAGGTAAAGGAACCAAAGAGAGGATATTGTGATTTTCCTGTCTACATTTTCAGCTTCTTCAATTGAACCAAAGCATAAATTATGTGACATAGAGGGGGGACTATCTATAAGAGAACCAATCTCAAAGAGTTCCTGTTCTCCAGATGTACAACAGTTATATAGCGGTTGGGAAATATCCAAATTTGATCATGACTAAGTTTGCAATTAACTAAAGTGTGTATGCTATGGGTTTTTAAAAAATTACTTGTTTTTATGTTTTTGTTGTTTAGGCTAGACAGCAACAAGCAGAACTGGCCCAGCAGGAATGGCTTCAAATGCAGCAAGCTGCCCAACAAGCGCAGCTTGCTGCTGCCTCAGCCAGTGCATCTAACCAGGCAGGATCTTCTCAGGATGAAGAAGATGATGATGATATCTGAAATTCACCAGCTGAGGTTCTGTTTCCTCTATAAATGTTTTCCCTGCACAATAAAACAGTGAAAGGAATGCTTATCTGTAATTTTGTATGCATCTTGGTGGACCTGCCACTGGTACCTAGGGATGTCTGCTATTGATTTTCATCTATTGTGTGCTATTCATGTGAAAACTGTCTCTTTGAACAATTGAAAATTTAAGGTTCAGTATAATATCAATTTTGAATTTTTAATGGTGTTTATGAGATTTTAGATAGCAGTGAGTCCTTTATTGATCAATAAACAGTGTTACAGAAAACTTCAACTTTATAAAAGTACAGTGAAATTTATACAGAAACTCTAAATCCGTATTTTCATTTCCTCTGCCCTTTTAACTAAACTAAAAATTGGGAATATTAAATTATTGTGGGAGGGGGTGCTATGTAATACAGTAGGCATTAGACCAGATTGGTTAAAAAGAACGAGTTTATTTCTGTAGTATGTGATTTTTTTTGTCTTTTAAAATGAGTATATATACAGGCTATATATATGTGTGTGTGTGTGTGTGTGTGTATATATATATATATATATATATATATATATATATATATATATATATATATATATATATATATATATATATATATATATATATATATATATATATATATATATATAAGTGTTCTGTTGTATGTATAGGCCACACAAACACATATATGCTCAGATAAATATACTTATTTGAAAGAATTTCAAAACAAGACATTCAAAAACTAGGAAGGGGGATATGTTCCATAGTAGTGTATAAATTTGGTGGGTCATGTTTTTTATTTCGTTTTGTTTTATGTAAAGGTAAAACCTATTGTTTTATTATGGCATAATTCATCTTGAGCTACATTATTACATTTCAAAGACTGCCCAATTTTGAGGACTGTCATGATTCTTACTATTTCACTCCATTAATTGTCAGTAGTATTACTTGCTTAGTCCATCCATGTTTATTGGAACTTGTGAAACAATTGCTTAGGTTCTATTGGTTTAACTGAGGTTAATGAATATTCAAACTTTTGCTGGGGAAAAGGAAAGTTAATGAGCATGCTTGCTGTAAAAGAGGGATTTTTTGTAATTTAACTTATAGTTTACTTATTGTTTGTTTTTCGCATTACTCTTACATTTTTTTGACTAGATGGCCTACAGTGTCCAATGCTTCCTTTTGAAATGACATCATCTCCATCATAGAGTGATAGCTTTAAAAATTGATTTGTTTTGTTTTAAAAAACATGTCATAACTAGTCACTCCTATATGAAACATAAAATGTAGTTTCAACCTGCTCATTAAAAGGGAGGAAGCTTTAATTTGGTTCTCATAAATAAAGTATGGCAGTGATTTTTATAGGAATCCAGTGTGTTGAAGAAATGGCATCTTGTTTGTATTTTGGAAACAATGGAAAAAGCCACTTAAGATTGTATGAGGTAATCTAATCTAAATTCCTTTGTCAGTTGCCAAACTATTTAAATTTCTGTATTCACCAAACCCAAGGATAATTTTCGGCTGTCAGGATTTCAATTTTAATTAGAGAGCTAAATAAAGTTTACAAGTATTAGATTTCTTAATGATCATATTTTGCACTTTTAGGAAAAGTGAAATATTGTTATACATTTATTAAATACACTTCCCCATGCCACAAAAAGGTTAATTTTGCAGAATGTTTTAAGTTGAAGTTGACATTGTATCTATGATGTGCTTTGGACAACATAGAAGGGATTGTGTGTTATTTTAAAGTTTAAGTACCAAAGGTAGTCTAGTCTAAGACACAGTAAGTTAATAAGTGTTGGCTTTTCTAATTTGTACTGTAACATCCTTATACTTGCTATTTTAAGTGTACCTGTTTCTGAAGTAAACAACTTAGATATTTTTCCACACCTTTTTTTTCTGATGCAGAGTTCAGGTTAATTAATATTTTACTGCATCTGATAATGTATTATATGTTTGAAGCCTAGTGATTTTGCATTTGGACATTCTTGTGATTTCATATGCTGTATTCTTCAAGCAATAAAATTCTGATGTGTTTTATAAATTGTTTTTATATTTAATGATCTATACAGATTAATGACAGGAGATTTCTGTTACTAACATTTTTACTAGTTTCAAGAATCTTAGGCCCAAAACACATTTTGATATTACCTGACTTTCTCCTTTGTTTACCGTTATTGAAGAAAATGTGGTTTTACTTGTATTTTTGTAATTTACAGTCCTAGGGTCTAGGTATCAAAAGTTAATTAAGCAATGTTTTACTTTTAGCTTTTTCTTTAACATTTAAAAGTCACTTTTGTCTGTTGATATTTTAAAAAATCTTTCAGAGAGAAACAAATCTTTAGCATTCTTGAGAAATAAAGTTATTGTTTAGTAAGTGTTTTCCCCACCTCCTTGAATATAAATCTTGTTTTTTTTCAGCAGATTATCAGATTGTTAAATGTTGAAAAGGTACCAATTTTAAACTGAACATACCATACATATAGAGGAATACACAAATAAGGTTTTTCACAAATTAAGCATACTCATATCGTTAACTCTCAGACCAAGACAACAGAGCATTATGAGCATCTGAGAGCCTTCCTCTTGCTCCTATCTTAACATTGTCTTCTCTTCCTCCTCAGAAGTAACTATTATTCAGACTAATAAAACCATAGATTAATGCAATCATATGTAATATACAGTTTTTTTGCTCATTATAATTTGTAAGTGTACTGGTTTCCTGATGCCACTGTAACAGATTACCACAGACTCAGTGATGTAAAACAACACAGATTTATTTTCTTGCAGTCCTGGAGATCAAAGGTCCAAAGTCAGTTTCATTAGGCCAAAGTCAATGTGTAAAACCAGATTTGGTTGCTGAATCTGGAGGTTGTAAGTGGAAAATCTGTTTTCTTGCCTTTTTTATGTTGATTGCCTGTCTTTCTTGGCTTGTGGCCCCTTCCTCCATGTTCAAAGCTTCTGCTTTCATCACCACTTCTTCTATAGTCAAATCCTCCTGTCTCCACATTTAGGGCCCACCTGGATGATAATCTGCCCATTTCACAATTCGTAATTTAAATCACATTTGCAAAATCTTCGTTTTGTTTTGTTAATCCTCACCCCAGGATATTCTTTCCATTGATTTTTTTTTTTTTTAGTGAGAGGGGGAGAGACAGAAACATCTATGAGAGAGAGACATCGATTGATTGGCCCCTGTCCCCCCTCCCGTGTGCGCGGCG